TATAATAAAATAAAAACTATAATTATATTTTTTGAATGATAATACTGTCGCTTTTTCCAATTGTTTTATTATATATCCAATTGCGTTGTGAGTTAAATAAAATACATATACTTAAAGTCATGGGCAAGTAGAATCGCACTACAAGTAATCAACTATTACTTATTAATTTACTTAATCTTATTAACTACAATCCCATTTTAACCCAGGGAATGATGTTTATCAAGTCCCCTTCACCAGATCTCCAAGAAATAGCTTTGTAAAGATGTTACATCCAGACATCTAGTTACGACCGTCAGCGAAAATTATGTGCAATCCAGCGATGGTAACATCGTTCATTGTTCACAATATGATGAAATTTTAATTGCAAACACGCAAATTTTATTCGTGTTATTCCGAACATGAATAGGTGCGATCAGGGGGAATCAAATACTGTTCTTAATATTATTCACATAACACAATGCTGTCAAATGTATTTTCCTATTTTTGATCTCTTTATTAAATTACTTAAACGATTCTTTGTGAAAAAAGTTTCAAATACAAGTAGGACTCGAATTTATTTGTTCCAAGTCACATATTGAAACACTTTATTTTTTGCTTTTTATTTTTTTGTTTTTTGTTATTTATTCTCTTTTTTGCTGCATAATTGTGTAAAATAATAATGCCAACTTATCTTTATATATGTTTAAGTTTAAATTATAAAATATATATTATAAAAGATAAATTAATGTTATATGTTTTTAAATCATTTGAGACATTTTTTTCTACAATAGTACAATCTTTACATATGATAAACACTTTTTGTATTGAAGCTAACTTGGGTCGACAGTGCTTTCCATTCAGTGACACGAATCGATACAAACCTACTTATTCTATCTTTTTTAACATTTAGAGAATAATAAAGATAGAACGACACTTGTATCGATTGAAAATCATATAAATGAAAAGCGTCGATTCTATTTCCCTCAATTCTTATCGCGATTCTTAAGAGATCGATTCACAAGGAGAATTCTGGTGATATTCTCGGACATCTGCACTAATTTTTTACAGATGCCAAATAAAAATATAATTCCTATAAACAAACGCACGAGGCAAACGCGGCAGTCTCATGCTTATCATCGTACATTTACCGTACATTTATTTGAAAGTCCTATAATTATGCATACAAACACACACACATACATACGTATAACACAATACACATACGCACATGTACGCGTGATTCATGAGCTTTAAAAGCACATTAATTAAGCGCACGTAGGAGCATCACATGTATCGGACGTCCATTCGCGGTGGAGAGTGCTACGAGATCGTATCGGCGTCACATTTAGAATTAAAGTCGATTTATCGACTAACGTATCTTCTTTTTTTTATTTCAAAAAATTCAGGAATGCTGCTAAATATCAATTAAATGATGGCAGTTGTATGCAAAATTTTTTTTGGTAGAGGATATCTTTTTCGGATATTATGTTTCTAGTTAGAAGGATTCTTCTTGAATTGCGGAACATTTTCATGGATGACGAGGTCTAAGCAGAAGTTCTCCAAAGCTCTTCTCGGCCATCGATATCCAATTATGCCTACAATCTCCACTAATTCTATATGGTTCCTAACTAACGGCTCCATTAATTTTGACTCCAGTTATAACACAGCTATGAAACAGATGAATGAAGAAGATTGTCTTCGAAGGATCGTTTCGCTCCTGGATGAAAACGCGAGTCCCAAGTTGCGATGTCACATCCATCGAATACATGTTCGAACATCATTCGCTTCCTGATTGTCTATTCGTTGCGAAATGTTCGCGAATCACTATACACCTAATACAGTCTGAACGAAAAGGTAAAAATTATGAGCTGCTTTTATCCGCGTTTAAACTTCAGCACCAGTAAGCTTATCGTAAGGAACACGATAATCCAGATGATGGTGGAGATGTAACCATTGTAGACATTTGACTCTGTGATGCTCCAGCCGCGGGTCAGCATGGAACGCAAGGCAGTGGTCGCCATCGTCAGTGGTAGACCTTGCGAGATGTATCGAAGGAATGTCGGCATGCCTTCCACCGGCCATATTACACCTGCAAAATGGAAAAAATCAAGTAATCTTTAAAATCAAGTTTGCCATTTAGTCAACTAATCTATATGTTCTTTTCTTCATTTTGTAGGTCAATTATTCTCAATTTGATTTTTGTTTTGCATGCTCGCTTCCAGCAGCAAATTATTATTTTTAATTTTTTTCTAATTTCCTCAAGTCTTCTGTGAACTATTTTCGATATTAAATTTACACTTTAGACAAAGAGAATCGGAGAGTCAGATCTAATAAACAGTTTATGTATAGCAATTTGATTAGAGCGTGTGGATATTGGCCGACTTTCATTTCTAGTAGATAGATACAGTAAAGATTTCAATGCATGACATTTAGATCAAAATAATTGTCTAGTGTAACAGTAACAGATTTGATTCATTGAGTACGAGATGATTATCATATTTATTTTAGAGTGATGTGATATCAAGTATGTTATCAATCTGATCGATAAAAGCAACGTTTTCAATTCTCGCGCAAATTTCATGTAAACGTAATTTTTAGACACTATGGTTGTGTTCCAAATTTACTGCCAGCACTGAAAATGCTACTAGTTTACATTACATGCACTATAGATTTTCAGTGGCCAGTCAATTTTGGAAGCTTATATTGTGAATAAAAACAAGAATTTAAA